GCAGTTTTAGAGAGAGAGAGCATTTGTATCTGCTGGTTCACTGCCTAGATGGCCACAGTGGCCAGTACTGGGCCAAGCCAAAGCCAGAAACCTGTAACTCCGTCCGAGTCTCTCACATGGATGCAAGGAGCCAAGAACTTGGGCCATCTTGCACTGCTTTCCCAGACACATTGAGAGGGAGCTGGATGAAAAGTGGAGCAGGTGGGACTTGAACTTTATCCATGCGGGATGCTGGGGTCACAGTCAGAAGCCTAACGTGCTGCATCACAGTGCCAGTCTCAACTTCCGCTATTTGTTTGTTTTTGTTTTTTTTAAGATTTGAAGACTTTTAAGATTGAAAGATTTAATTTAAAAATTGTATTTATATTGGAAAGGCAGATTTTCAGAGATAAGGAAAGACAGAGAGAGAAAGATCTTCCATCTGCTGTTTCACTCCCCAAGTGGCCGCAATGGTCAGAAATGAGACAATTTGGTCTAAAATCACAATTTCAATTTCTGTGTTGAATAAATAATTATTTAATCTATATAAACCTAGCACGGTTCTAGCTATTAAGAATTCAGCATTAACAAAATAGGTAAGAATCCTTACTTTGATACAGTTCACTGTCTTATAAGGAAAGGTAGTAAAATATGTAAGAAGTATAATATTCCAGCGTTTAAATGCTGTGAAGAAAAATAGGGGGAGAGAAAGAGCAGAACTGAGATGAGATTTTAAATCAATCAGAAATACATTTTCCTGAAAGAACTGTGTGTTTCCCTTTGTAATTATATCCTGACGGTTATGGTAGTACTATTGTTTTGTTTGGTTCTGTATGACACATACAAAAGGTCCTTAATCTCCTTCAATCCTGAATGCAGAGTGCATTTTGTCAGAAGCAGGTGACACCACCTGCCTGGCCCACCAGAGGGCAGACTTGTCTAACGCTGGCTGCCAGTTTTTGTGCCCTGGAGAACAGGGATGTACCATACCAGGGACTCTGCTTTGGAGAATTTTTTCCCAGTTACAGCTCATTTAACTAAAGTTATTTGGCTCAGAACAAAATATTCCTTCCAAAATGTTACCACATTTTAGAATGTGAATGAATTTGGAAAATTATAATTATAGTAAACAAATAGCTGAAACGTGACTCAAATTAGAATTTTATTTAAATCTAACACGTGCTTCATTTGTCTTAAATGTATATTTAATTAAGTTTATAAGACATACAGAAAGACAAGTATTTTTTTTTCAAGATTTATTTATTTTTATTGGAAAGGCAGACTTACAGAGAGGAGAGACAGAAAGATCCTCTGTCTGCTGGCTCATGCCCAGGTGGCCACAATGGCTGGAGCTTACCTGATCTACAGTCAAGAGCTTCCTTCTCGTCTTGCACACAGGGTCCAAACACCTGGGCCACCCTCTGCTGCTTTCCCAGGCCATAAAAGCAGGGAGCTGAATGGGAAGTAGAGCAGCCGGAATACAAACCATTGCACGTATCGGATCCTGGTGCATGCAAGGGAAGGACTTCAGCCATTAGGCTATGGCACTGGACCCCTTAAGTATTGTTTTTAAAAAGAAGAGTGATGACACAATTCATTTAGATACTGAAAATGGGGCCTAGCAACTAAAGTTCTCACCTTGCACCCGTTGGGATACCATGTGAGTGCCAGTTGTAATCCTGGCCACCCCACTTCCCATCCAACTCCCTGTTTGTGTCCTGAGAAAGCAGCAGAGGATGTCCCAGGGTGTTTGGACTCTGCTTGCAAGACACAGAGGGAGGTTCTGGCTCCTGGTTTCAGGTTGGCTCAGCTCTGGCTGTTGCAGCTACTTGGAGAGTGACCCAGCGGATGAAAGATCTTCCTCTCTGTCTCTCCTTCTCTCTGTATATCTGCCTTTTCAATAAAAATAAATAAATCTTAAAAACAGATATTAAAAATGTAGACTTATTCCAATGTATATTTTGGGTGAAGGAGTGAGTAGCTCAATGTTTTTATTTCAGTTAGAGAATAAATTACAAAGTAGGTACTGTGCAGATTAGAGTATAAAACGTTTGTATTTATCTCTGGAATATGCTTTAATGTAATCAGAAATCCATCTGCTTGTCGTACTCTGCGTGGGCCCAGCCCTAACTGCCTCCTTTTTCATCTAGAGCCTGCCCATGCTGCATACACCACCTTGGGATAACAGAATTCATCAGCGTGTGTCTCCGCTAGTGACAACAGTTACTAGTTGAAAATACACATTATTCAAAGCTATAAAACCTTATCTAAGTATCCTGTAGTCATATTCACACTGCTTTACTCTGATTGTTTTGACCACAGTTACCAGTCGCCATATCCTTGTAATAATGACAGATACCTGAAGTTACTGTTTGTGGCCTTGGTGCCAACCAAAGAAAAAATGCCTGTGGTGCATGTGAATCTCAAACTCATGGATCTGTGTTCATAATCGAAGCTCATTCATCTGAGGCTGGAGCAACCCGGTTAAGGTCGCTCGTATGATGTCTTGCCTCTTGTCAGGGTCTGTACCTGCCAGTGGTACAGTGTCAGTCAACACAGAGCTGCTTCAGGACCGGCTATGTCGGCTCGTATAATACACAGTAAATTCTCATAAAGAGGCTGTCCTAGAAAATAACAGGAAATTAAAGGCAGGCATAACTTGTTTTGTAACTTAACCTTATGTTAACAGAATGGATTCCAGACAGTGAGGAAAGAATAGTTTATACCCACAGCAGCATCTCTGAATCTCACAGGTTTTGTGTCAGCAAAAGGGAGCCAGATACAAAAGAGAATATGCTTCAGAATTCTTTGTTACAAAGTTAAATAACACGATAAACTGATCCCCGAGGACTGTAGACGTCAAGATGGCCATCACCTTGGGGACTTCAAGGGGCCTTACCCTGAACAAGCTTACAGTTTGTCGCAGGGGACATGTTATATGAAACTAGAAAATGAAGGGGCTTTTAAGCAGTGTTGAAGTTAGGCCTGCGTTCAGGTCTTAGGACTTCACACAGGTCCTCAGTTTCCCTCATGGTTGTTTTTCTTACCTGTTAAGTGGATATAAGGTGTGAACAAGATTAGCATGTGAGGGAGCGTCTAGTAAACAGTAAGCTTTCCTTTTTTTAAAAAAAGATTTTATTATTTATAATTATTGGAAAGTCAGATATAGAGAGAGGAGGAGAGATGGAAAGGAAGATGTGCTGATTCACTCTCCAGGTGGCCGCCATGGCCAGAGCTGAGCCAATCCAAAGCCAGGGGCCCAGAGCCTCTTCAGAGTCTCCTGCGCAGGTACAGTGGCATAAGCAGGGAACTGGATGGGAAGCGAGGCTGCTGGGGTTAGAACGGGCACCCATATGGGATTCCAGTACATGCATGGAGAGGACTTTAGCCACTAGGCTACCATGCTGGGCCCTGAACGTTCCTTTTTTAAATCCTGTAGCCAAGGGGCACTTTTTCTTTTCTCCACAACATGTGACCTCAATTCAGATATATTCTGTCAGTTACTGGCATGGGATCTTTTTTTTTTTTTATTGTAATTTTTTTTTCTTTTGATTACATTGCATTATGTGACACAGTTTTATAGGCTCTGGGATTCCCTCCACCCCTCCCCAAGCCCTCCCCCGGTGGTGGATTCCTCCACCTTGTTGCTTTACCACAGTTCAGATTCCGTTGAGATTCTTTCATTGCAGGCATTTGCCAAACATAAAGTCCAGCATCTTATTGTCCAGATAAGTTCAACAGTTTCTTGGGAAGACCATCTCTGGCCTGAAGGTAGACTTGCATGTGATCTTAAGTAGATTGTTTAATTTCTTTGGCCCTTCTTCTAAAAAAGAAAAGACCAGGGACACGGGCACTTTATCTTGAGGGAGTATTTTGAGAAGTAAACCTAGCAGATCTGTGGTACCAAGCATAAAATAAGCACCTTAGGACCCGACACAATGGCTTAGTGGCTGGGTCCTTGATTTGCACATGTCAGGATCCCATATGAGCGCTGGTTCCTGTCCTGGCATCCACTTCCCATCCAGCTCCCTGCTTGTGGCTTGGGAGGGCAGTGGAGTATGGCCCAGGGCCTTCAGACCCTGCACCCATGTGGAGACTCAGAAGTGGTTTCTGGCTCCTAGCTTCAGATCAGCTCAGCTCCAGCAATTGGGGCCTCGTGGAAGTGTCTAGAAGATGGAAGATCTTTCTCTCTGTTTCTCCTCCTCTCTATATATCTGACTTTCCAATAAAAATAATAAAAAAAATCTTAAAAACAGTAAACACCATAATAAGTGTAAGATCTGTCTGTTGTTGTGAATGTAACAGTATCCAAATACGTGATGTGGGTACTGGGTGATGCGATGAAGTCAGGATAGTGGCTGCAGGCGGGAGAAATGAAATATGGGCGAGTCGTGCTTTTGTTTTCTGATCTGATAAGTATGTCTTGTACTTTTATGGAAAGATAAAAATAGAAAATATTCTTGGATTATGATGATAACATGAGAATGTTGTGACTTCATTAAAAAATAGGTTGGTTTCATTTTACAGCTTAAAAATTAGTAGCTTATTACTAATATTCTTGAAATAGTACTTTTACTTAATGATAGTTTATATAAAAAACATTTTATGTAGAAACTCTTGTCACAATAGAAGGAAAACCTCAATACACAAAGGGAAGAAAATCCATATATAAAATTATTTGTCCTTTGTCACTTGAAAAATAACCAGCTACGTGCAACCCAGATCTCATTGGGTATCAGTGGTGGGCAGTCTGGACTGAGGAAGTTTTGAATCGCAGGACAGGTCCCAGTGGTTAAATATGAATAGAGTTGCATTGTTCAGAATGTTTATTTGAGAACTCACAGCTAACTGGTATCAGATCCTGAACAGCTTTCCAGTGTTTGGAACCACATTAGATTCTTTTGAAATTGCTGGATTGAAGTCAACCAATCATGTCTTACGTTTCTTAAACTTGGGTGAAACGAAGAGGTGAAAACACAGCATTCCGCTCAGCCCTTGCTCATCTGTCCTCCTCTTTGCAGATATTCCGGGTGGTGTGCATCTGTTTGGGCAATCCACCAGAGACGTTCACCTGGGAGTATCGAGACAAAGATAAAAATTATCAGAAGATTGGCCCTATAACACCCTTGGAGTTTTACAGGCAACATGTCAAGCCACTCTTCAACATGGAAGATAAGGTTGGAGATTGTGTGGTCAGCCACTGGGTGTTTACTTTAAAATGCTTGTTAATTGTGGCAGAGGGCAAGAGATTCCTGGGTTAGCATGCGTGGTCATCAAACTAGACTGACACTAAACCAACTTTGATTTTCCCCCTCCTCAGTTGTTTTCTTGATTCATCAAGCCAGGATCCACCTTTTCCCAAGTGTTCCTCTTGAGGGATTTCTGACCAGCAGTCAGGTTTTTTTGTTTTTGTTTTTGTTTTTGCTTTTTATATATATATATGTAATTTTAAAAAACACATTTTAAAAATTTATTTGAAAGAGCTACAGAAAGAGAGAGGAAGTCAGAGAAGGAATCAGAAAATCTCACTGATTTACTCCCCAGATAGTCACAATGGCAGGACTAAGCCAGGCCAAACCCAGGAGCTTCTTCCAGGTCTTCCACTTGACTGCAGATGCCCCCCTAGCACTTGGGCCATCTTCTGTTTTTTTTCAGGCCATTGCCAAGGGAGGTGGATTGGAAGTGGAGCAGCTGGGACTTGAACTGGTACTTGTATGGGATGCCAGCTTCTCAGGTGGTGTTTTTGTGTGCTGTGCCACAAAGCTGGCCTCCAGCTATCAGTTCTCTTTCCTACATGCTCTCCTCATTTGGGCCCAGAACCATTTTCAGGTACAAAGGAAAGGAAAGCCTATTGTGGATTTCTTATGGATTCAAGACAGCTTCATGCTGTGTGCTTCTTTGAGGACTTGGTTGTGTCCCATCTGGCTTTTCCATCTGCCTGGCCAGATATCAAGAGCTCTTTGCTTTGTTGGCTTACTGACTTTTCCAAAGAAATGGCATTGTCAGATGTTGAGACTGTTTTGTAACTTGAAAATAGGATTCTTGTGAGGTGCTTTCTGTCTTACTAGACTCAGTGAGTATACTTTTTCAGAATTAGTTTTGGGACAGTCCTTACTAGTAGGAAAAATGGGTGGTAGCCTTGCCAGGTGAGAGAATGAAGGATTAAGGATCTCTTCTCATGGGTATTTTGCTACCTCTTGATTTTTTAAAAAAATTATCTATTTATTTGAAAGATAGAGTAGTAGAGACTAAGGTCAAGACAGAGAGGTTTTCCATACACTGGTTCACTCCCCAAATGGCTGCAACAACTGCAGCTGGGCCAGTTGAAAGCCAGGATCCAGGAGCCTCCTTGGGGTCCCTATATGGGTACAGGGCCCCAAGCAATTGAGCCATCCTTCACTGCTTTCCCAGGTGCCTTAGCAGGGAGCTGGATTGGAAGTGAAACAGCCAGGACTTGAGCCAATGCCTGTATGGCATGCTGACACTGCAGGTGGCCGCTTTATCCATTCTGCCACAGCACTAGCCCCTCTCATTTCTAGTTGCCTATGTGGCTGTGGTGTTACTTTTTTTATTTGAAAGGCACATTTACAGAGAGGAGAGACAGAAAGATGTTTTCATCTGCTGGTTCATTTCCCAAATGGATGCAATAGCCCAAATCTGAGCTGATGCAAAGCCAGGAGCCTTTTTTTCTGGGTGTAGGATCCCAGGGCTTTGGGCCATACTCCACTGCTTTCCCAGGCCACAAACAGGGAGCTGAGTGAGAATTGGAGCAGCCAGGACACAAATTTATGCCCTTAGGGGATGCTGGCACTTGCACGTGGAGGATTAGCCAGTTGAGCCATATTTTGGGCCCCAGTAGTGCTCATTCTGATAGCTTGATAAGCTTAATGCAAACATAGGAACCCTGAGCAGAGGTGTGTATTCTGACAATCGTGGTTTTTGTGTTTTGACCAGAATGTTCTTGATCTCAACAGATTTGTTTTGTGAATGACCCTCGGCCCCAGCACAAGTACAACAGGCTTTATACAGTAGAGTACTTAAGCAATATGGTGGGTGGGAGAAAAACTCTGTATAACAACCAACCCATCGAGTTCTTGAAAAAAATGGTTGCTGCTTCCATCAAAGATGGAGAGGTTGGTATTATTTTTGTGTCTTCCACCGTGGGGTTAAAATATCCTTTTTTATTTCTATGGTGTAACAGGAAAATAGGGTTTATGTTGATTTTTCTCTTTTCCTTTTTATTTCTAGGCTGTGTGGTTTGGCTGTGATGTAGGAAAACACTTCAATGGCAAGCTGGGCCTCAGTGACATGAATGTGTGAGTGTCAGAAACTTTAAATAGAAAGTCGTTTATGGGTTGATGCTGTTGATTGCACTCTCGGTGTGAAATTATGCTGTTGAGGCTCATCAGAAGGCTGAGGCCGACAAGAGTAGATCTCTTTGCAGAATGTAGTTTATTCTAACCCCAGAAATCAAGATCATCCTTCATGTCTGAATAAAAATTGTTGAATATTCCTAAGAAGTCATGCTGTGTGAGAAAGATACTTAAAAAATAATGAGTCAAGGTGGAAATTTACCCAGTGCATTTGGGAGTGCCATGAAGAGTTATCCAAAACTCTTATTGGCCAGTTGACCTTTCTTGAACTGCGTTGTCTTAACTTTATTGCCTTGTGTGTTTTAACTTTATGGCAAGTAGGACTGATTTGCATGCATACTCTTGACTATTTTATGATAGTGAAGGGTCATTTGCACAATATATTGAATGAGCCCTGAACTTTTGACGATTTATTTGTTTATTTATTGAAAGACAAGACAGGGGCCGACATTATAGCATAGCAGATAGCGCTGCCGCCTGCAACACTGGCATCCCGCGTGATCACTGTTTTATGTCTTCACTGCTCCACTTCTAATCCAGCTCCCAGCTAATGGCTTGTTGAAAGCAGCAGAACATGGTCCAAGTGTTTGGGCTTCTGTCACACATTTGAGAAGCTCCTTTCTCCTACCTTCACCTGGCTTGATCATGGCCATTGCAGATATCTGAAGAATAAACTAGCATGTGGAACATATTTCTCTGTGTTTCTTCCTCTCTGTAACTCTAACTTCAAATAAATCATCTTTAAGGAAAACAAACAGGTGAGAATGAACTTCCACCCAATGGTCTACTCCTCAAGTGGCCACAGCGGCTAGACTAGACCAGAGCCAGGAACTTGGAACTCCATCGTGTTTTGCACATGAGTGCCAGGGGCCCAAGAGGCTCACCATCTTCTTTCCCAGATGCGTTAGCAGGGAGCAGAGCATCCAGACTTGGACTCTGATGTGGGATGGTTGTATTACAGCCATGGCTTAACGCATTGTTTTACACCCACATACCAGCTTTTTTTTTTTTTTCTTTTTTTAAGATTTATTTGTTTTTATTGGAAAGTAAGGTTTATAGAGAGAAGGAGAGACAGAGAGGAAGATCTTCCATCTGCTGGTTAACTCCCCAAGTGACCACAACAACCAGAGCTGAGCTGATCCAAAGCTAGGAGCTTCTTCTGGGTCTCCCATACGGGTGCAGGGTCCCAAGTCTTTGGGCCGTCCTCTACTGCTTTCCCAGGCCACATGCAGGGAGGTGGAAAGGAAATGGAGCATCTGAGACACAAACCAGTGCCTGTATGGGATCCTTATGCATACGGGGCGTGGACATTAGCCACGAGGCTACCTTACTGCCCCACACACCAACTTTTAAAATATACTGTATTATGGTAGCTTGTAAGTAATTACTGCTGTAGGCAACTGTGTAAATATTTTGATATTTTACAGAATAAAAGAAATTTACGGAAAGAATTAATGAATTATTTTTAAAAATTTTAGAATAAGGGCTTGTATTATGGCTCAATTGATAATCCTCCACCTGAAAGTGCTGGTATTCTGTATGGGCACAGATTTGTGTCCTGGCTGCTTCATTTCCCATCTAAATCCCTGCTTGTAGTCTGAAAGATGTAGTAGAAGCTGGCCCAAAGCCTTTGGGATCCTGTCCACATGCTCCTGGCTTAGGATGGCTCAGCTCTAGCTGTTATAGTCATCTGGGGAGTGAAACAGTAGATGGAAGATCTTTCTGTTTGTGAATCTGCCTTCCCAATAAAAATAAGTAAATCTTAAAAAAAAATTTTTTTTAATGTTCTCCAGGTTTTTGTTTGTTTGTTTAAATTTACTAGTCAGGGCTCAGCATGATAGCGCAGTGGTTAAGGTCCTTACCTTGAATGCGCCTGGATTCCATATGGGCCCTGGTTCTAATCCCAGCAGCTCCTCTTCCCATTCAGCTCCCTGCTTGTGGCCTGGGAAAGCAATAGAGGACAGGCCAAAGCCTTGGGGCCCTGCACCTACATGGGAGACCTGGAAGAAGTTCCTGGCTCCTGGCTTTGGATCGGCATAGTATTGGCCATTGCTCTCACTTGGGGAGTGAATCATCGGACGGAAGATCTTCCTCTCTGCCTCTCCTTCTCTCTGTATATCTGCCTTTCCAATAAAAATATAAATCAGTCTTTTTAAAAAAAGATTTACTTATTGACTTACAAAAAAAATAAATTAAATTTACTAGTCAGCAGTGATTTAGATTAATTCAGAAACTGAGTGTTTCTACCAGCCGAAAATAGCCCATCTTTTGTGAGAAGTTACTTCAGAAAGTTTTTTTAAGGGTGCCAGATGACATTGCAAGTTCATCAGCTTCGAATAATGAGAATTTATATGTAGCCATTTTACATTTCCCCAAGTGCTCTTGTACGTAGAGAATGGAATCCCCTGGAGAGACTGAGTTCTGTATGAGCCATACTCTCTTAAGAGCCACAGCCACAATCCACAGCCCACAGTTGGCATTGTTGAGCCTCTCCGGTTTGTTCTGTGTTCCTTTCATTCCCAGAATGCAGTGTTCCTCCTTGATTTTGTGCCGTCCTTTTTTGCAGCTATGATCACGAGTTGGTGTTCGGTGTCTCCTTGAAGAACATGAATAAAGCTGAGAGATTGACTTTTGGTGAGTCACTTATGACCCACGCCATGACCTTCACTGCTGTCTCGGAGAAGGTATGACTCCTCACCTCCCCCCGTCCTAGTGTGCCTGCCACAGTGTTTGCACAGGTGATCTCTCTCCTGTCTCCTGCAGGTGTTTACCACAGCAGGGCTGGATGCCCAGTGTCCATGCTTTCTGCTCAAAGTTAGCTTCTGTGTAAGACATCAGGTCTGCATCACTGGGGGTTTGGTTGCGTGTTCAGAGGAAATCAAAATAGGAACTTCTCATAAAGAGCAGGGAGTATAAAGAAGTGACTGCTTTTCTGCTAACTTTGGAAAGTATAGTGGGAAGAGAGGTCAGCACGGGCACAGAAGATGACTTCTGTTTTATTAACAGTGAAAGAGTGCCCATCTTGACACGGGGTGTCTATACTCCCCTGATCCTTTTATTGCCAACAGATTGTTCTGTCGTGAAGTATTGGTAGTTTGCAGATTGCGTGCTCGTTGCTGGATTCAGACAATGCCTGATATAAAGTGTTTTGTATTTGCTATGAAATGCTTTGACTAGTAAGAACGCTATTGTTAGGACCTGGTGTTGGATGCAAAAACTGAAATTTTATGTTTCACAAATAGGCGGCCCACCTCCAGGTTGTAGAAAAGGGCACTTCATCAGACCTTTGAACTACTTTGATTCGTTATTGCTCCTCCTGCCTAATTACTGGAAAGTCACAGAACAGCTGCCCTGTATGAATTGTTTTAGACAATGATTTGTTAGAGTTCTTTTTGCTATCCTACATACCAGATTTATGATCATGAGAATGTTTGGAAATGGCTTTGTCAGTTTGCCAAAAAAGCTCCCATCTGCCGGTCTCCTTTCCAAATGCCTTCGGTGCCCAGGGCTGGGCTGGAACGAGGACCTGGAAACCCAGTCCAGGTTTCCTGCATGGGTTGTGAGGAGCCAGCTGCTTGAACTATCACTTGCTGCCACCCAGAGTCTTCAGTGCCAGGAAGATGGAATCATGAGCCAAAGCTGGCATTGAACCTAGGCCCTCCAGTGTGGGACATGGGCATCATCACCATTATCCTGAAAGCTCATCCCGAAGCTGGGTCTTTAAGTGTTAGAACCTGGAGGAGGAAATTGCTTGATCAGGGAACAAACACAGATAGTATCCTAAAGTATCTGGTATTCCTGATTCTCAGGTAATTTTCATATATAAATGTAAAGGCTGACGTTTTGTAATCCAGTGAGCTCTTTTCCTCATTATTGTACTTCTTCATGAGACCCCCACACCAAGAAACAGAAGAATGTCTGAAGTTTTATTGACGTTAGCTGTGTAGATTAGGAAAAGCCATTGTGTGATAGTGGAAGATGATTTCAGAGACCAGTCTTGAGGCGCAGCAGGATAAGCCTCTGCTTTAGTCACTGACATTCCATTTTGGAGTGTAGGTATTCTTGCTGGATGATCTACATAATCCAGCTTCTTGTTAATGCTTCTGGGAAGGTAGTGGTGGATGGCCCAAGAACTTGGGCTTCTGCAACCTACATAGGAGCTCAGGATAGATTTCCTGGCTTCTGACTTCAGCCTGTAGGCATTTGAGGACTGAACTAGTGTGTTATAGTTCTCTGTTTTCCCAATATCTTTCAAACAAGTGAATAGTCTATTTTTTAAAGATTTATTTATTTTTATTGGAAAGTCAGATATACAGAAAGACGGAGAGAGGTCTTCTATCCACTATTTCACTACCCAGGTGGTCACAACAGTCAGTGCTAAGCCAATCCGAAGCCAGGAGTTTCTTCTGGGTTTCCCACACTGGTGCAAGGTCCCAAGGCCTTGGGCCACCCACTACTGCTTTGCCAGGCCGTAAGCAGGGAAGTGGATGGAAAGTAGAGCAGCCAGGACACAAACTGGCACCCGTATGGGATCCTGGTATATGCAAGGTGATGACTTTAGCCACTAGGTTATAGCACCGAACATCTTAAAGAAAAAATTTTATCACCTTATAGATAGTAGGCCTTATGGGGCAGCATGAAATACCGAATCTTTTTTTCTTTAATTGTGTAAATTTTAGTTTTGATAATTTTGACATATTTGGTTAGAGTGCAAAGGGTCAAGGGCTAGACCCTGTATCTGGGGGGAGGGGAGAGACTAGGAGAGAAGCCATACCAAGCCTCCCAACCATCCTAGGGTCCCCAGTGTGGGTCATGCTCCGTTGGAGACCCGGAAGAGACACCTGGTTCCTGGCTTCAGATCGGTGCAGCTTTGGCCATTGAGGCCACTTGGGGATGAACCAGGAGACAGAAGATCTTCCTCTCTATCTCTCCTCCTCTCTGTATATCTGACTTTCCAATAAAAATAAAATTTTTTAAAGACAATAAAGACAGACTATAATGAAATATATAGCGTAACGTGGTTTGCAGAGGCAAGGGTGCTTGAAACTGGGGGGCTTTCTTTGCCTGTGATTTTTGAGACTGGAAATTGCCATGATTCAACAACCTGCCCCGAGTGTAATGTTCAGGCCAGCAGAGCCGACAGGGCCCTCAGCCCGTGCAGGTGAAACATGCCGTGCCGCGACATGCAAGTTGACAGATGAAATCATTAGGAGATGATGCAGGAGTCAGCACTCTAATGCTGCAAAGTTGTTTTGACATTCGACAACGTCCTGGGTAAACATAAAAGAGGACAGTCTTTTCCCAAATGGAGCCTTCCTCTCGTAACTGTCTGTGTCGTTGTAGTGAAGGCCATCATGACAAATATCACTCTTTTTTATAAAGAACTTTATTATGTATTTGAGAGAGAGAGAATGCGCTCCCAACTGCTGTCAGCACTTCAGGCTGCCCTGAAGTCGGTTCTCCCACGTGGGTGACAGGAGACCAAGTACTTGAACCGTCACTGCTGCGTTTCAGAATCTGCATTAGCGGGCGTGGAGCCAAGCATTGAGTCCAGATACTGTGTGGTAGGGGTAGGCTAATCCATGTGTTAAACACTAAACCAAGTGCCTGGTCCTCACTGCCCCTTTCAGCAGTGAAAATTGAGATTTTTGGTTCTTTTTGTTTGGTTGCTTTTTTAATTGGGAAGACAGATTTACAGAAACAAAGATACTCTGTCCTTTGGCTCACTCCCCAAGCTGGTATAAACAGCCAGAGCTGAGTCAGTCTGAAGCCAGGAGTCAGGAGCTTCTTCTGGATCCCCCACACAGATGCAGGGTCCCAAGGATTTGGGCCATCTTGTGCTGCTCTCTTAGGCCACAAGTACAGAGCTGGAAGGGACGTGGAGCAGCTGGGACACAAACCAATGTTCATATTAATGCAGGCGCGTGCAAAGCGAGGACGTAGCCACTGGCCATTGCCCCATGCCTGAAAATTGTTGTTGTTGTTTTAAGTTAAATCAATGAAGGTAGAAAAAGGAATGCAGAACTTGCAAGTCTTTGTTTTGAAATGGTCTTTTTGCTTTTGTGTTGCCATTCAGTTTGTCATATATTAAATTCAGTATTTGTGTAACTAAGTAAAAGAACGCATTTGCATTGTATCAGACTTGGTTTCCCTAAGTATGATGAGAATGTATTTGCTTTGTTTTACTTCTGTTTTTAAAAACTCAGACCAGATCTTTGACCCATAAATATGGTGGGATTCCTTTGTGAAGAATACCAACTGATTAAAAACAGACTCTTGGCTTCAGATGGCATTCACTGCCTTTGGTAATTTCAAAGATTTTGTGTTCCTTCACTAGGTAGCATTTTGCATGCTTATTTTCTGTTTAGAATGTAAAGGGAAAGAGCATCTGCTACTGTGTTTTACCTCCGGGAATGCAGACTGCTTCTGCTGAAGGATCCCTGGTACCCCCTCAGGGAGACTCCAGCTTCCGACTGTGCCCTGTCCAATCTTTTGCAGGATGATCGGGACGGTGTATTTGTGAAATGGAGAGTGGAGAATTCGTGGGGTGAAGACCATGGCCACAAAGGTGAGCTTAATTTAATAACACTGACTTGATATGACTTGGATCAGCTCTAACACCCTCCTGTACAGTGTGCACGATTAATCAGTAATTGATTCCTTTCACTAGGGTTTTTGACAGAGAAAAAAAAAAAAAATGAGCATCTGGGTTGCCCCAGGAGTTCAGTGTGCTTGAATTCCCAGGTTGACAGACCTGTGTGCTAGCATTCCTCCAGACTGTGCTGGCGTTCCTCGCCTTCCTTGTGCCAGAGCCACCTGGCTGTGATTCGGGTGCCAGGAGGTTGCTCGGTATTTAGCACTGTCAGGTAAACTTCTTCCTGCTATTGCAGAGTTCTAAAGGATGAGAACCCTGCTGAGCAGAACAGAATTTGCAAGGCAATTTCTTTAGGCATTTATTAGAGATCTTTTAGAAGCTGTGAAGTATGAAGAGAAGAATGATCTAGTTATTATTTAGAATGTTTTTGTGCTAGTAAGTCAAACCTCTAGCAAAATTACGAGTGCACTATAGTAATGCATGCTGGCATGTGGCACAGTCTGGTTAGGGTGCCGCCTCCGATGCTGAATCCCATTTCAGAGTGCAGGTGTCAGTCCCAGCTGCTCCGACTCCTCTCCAGCATCCTGCTAATGTATGTGGGAAGGCAGTAGGAGGTGGCCCAAGTGCTTGAGCCTCTGCATACACGCATGAGACCAGGGTAGAATTGCTGGCTGCTGGCTCCTGGCTTCAGCCTATCCTGCTGTGGCTATTGTGGCCATTTGGAGAGTGGACGGAATATCTCTCCCTCTAACTCTGCTTTTTAAACAAATAAATAACCATTTTAAAAACAGATTATAGTAATTAGGCTAAAGTCAGACATATATGAATTATAGAAAGATTAAAGCTATAGATAACATTTAAAAATTTAAAACTTTTTTTTAAACAAATTATTTTTTTGTTTTAATTGATTTATTTTTATTGCAAAATCAGACACAGAGAAGAGGAGAGACAGAGAGGAAGATCCTCTGTCCGATGATTCACTCCCAAGTGACCACCACGGCCAGTGTTGTGCTGATCCAAAGCCAGGAGCCAGGAACTTCCCCCAGGTCTCCCATGTAGGTGCAGGATCCCAAGGCTTTGGGCTGTCCTCCACTGTTTTCCCAGGCCACAAGCAGGGAGCTGGATGGAAAGTGGAGCAGCAGGGATATGAACCGACGCCCATATGGGATTCCAGCACATGCAAGGCGAGGCTTCAGCCACTGAGCCATCATACCAGGCCTCTGTTACTCGTTTTTAAAAACTCTTGTTTAACTCCTGTTAGTCTGAGCTTTGAACTTAGCAGGATGCTAATATGCTGATTGAAAAGCACAAGCGCTTACATGATGGCCAGATATGTCGTTGCTGATCTTTGCATCTATCCATGGGGATGACTATGGGTGGGTTTTGGCCAACTGCCCTGGGAGCCACTGTGAACTTGGCCAGCTGGGTGTTCATATGCAGACACACACTGGTGCCCTGACTGCATTTTCTTCATCACCACATGGTTACATGTCTTCCTCCGGGTATTTCTAAACTTGCTCTGGGATTACAGAGGTACTTGATAAGTGTTACGAATCAGAGCAAAAGTGTTCAAGTTAGTGATCTTTTTAGACGGTAGATTTTGTTTTTAGACAGATATATGTTGTGATTCGATAGAGAAGAGTTTAAATCTCAACAAAGCTAGCAGAAGGATTAAAAATAACTCGCAGTTTAGTTAAGTCTAAGAAATATTATTTGTAGTAACCTTAAGATGCTGAATTGTAAAAGTTTTTCTGTGGCTTCAGACCAATCTCTGTGACTTATCTTTAATTTCTGGTCAAATGTAGTTCCTGTAATTGTGTGTATCACTCAGATTAGCATCTAGTAAGAGGGCTAAGAATACAGTTTATCTAGACAAACTTGAACCCATCTGCTTTTTTTTTTTTATAATGTGTTTTTCATCTGCAAAAACCACTGAGTGTGTAATGTTGTAATGCCTGTTTAAGGTAGTGTAAACACTTGAAAACACAGGAATTTGTTGTGTGTCATGAGTCCTCATTACTCTGATCCAAATACCTGCTCTTTGAGGGGGTTCTGGGCCTCTCTGCTATTTTTTCTCCATTCCACAGTCCTGTACTACTCAGTGGAGTTGCTTCTGCCGACTTGCTCACTGCATCTTCATGTTGAGAGAACTGGGTCTTGGTCCTTACAAACCGCCTGTAATTCTTGGTGAATCCCATAACTATCTAGTCAAGATTAAGCTGATGTTTTTACTGTTCCCAGATTACTGAAATGCCTGAGATTATACAGAGCAGGGCATTTCAGTAGAGCCAAAAGATAAGACATTGAACTGGAGTGGGGGCAGGGAATAGTCCATTCAAAGCCAAAATAAATTATTCTCCTGTATATCTTGGTAATGTTCTTTCTGACTTAACAGGAAGGAAGGAAAGAAAACATGATCTAATTTAATTGGCTCAGTTGGCCTGCCCTTAGGAGAGCCGGTAGTGTGCTGCTCTGTGTTGGTCATCTGTGTGTCCAGCTGCTGGGCCCTCTAGCTGTCATCTCAGTGGGCTTCGGCAGGCAGGACTCCTGTGTGTGCTCGCCCAGGAGACAGGACTACCCTCAACAGCATGCTGGGATTTTGTTTCTGTAGATAACATTGTTAACAGTTTGTTACTATTCTCTTTGGGATTTCTGTCTGTTGAAACTGTTATTTCTGGAAAGGCAGTGCCAATTTTACAGGCTGGAGGTAAATAGAGTGGAGATGCATGGTCCTCCTGCCCCTTGCCCTCTGTCCAGTTCTGGATGTAGTCTTCCCTGTTAGTCATGTCTGTGGCCCCTCCTGTTAGGTAAATCAAATCACCTGTTTCACAAAATGGGCAGAAATTGCGCTCTGATCAGGAGAAACATAAATAGGAAAGCAAATGCACCAAGTAGGTTGCCCTCATCAGTGAATTCTGGAATTTATAACCGAGGTACTGAAAACCGAATGTGTAGCTCCCAAGTGTAACAACATGGCTTTCTCTTTTCCCTTGCTTCTTGAGATGCTTGAATTTTGTGCCTTATTTATGAATCATATCAGAATTGGGTTACTTGAGTAGATGAAGTAGCTCATCTTGGAACTTAATATGCTATCTTCATTTGAAAAAATTGAGCAAATATTTTGTGTAATATTTAATAAATTAAAATATAGAACATAGTTTGATTCCTTTCATTCTTAGTCAGAAATTAATCTGAAAAGATCATAATCTTTAAGCCAAAGATACCTGCAGCTTTCCCCACTAAGTGACAGGCTCACAGTTACAATCTGGAGAGTCTGACACGAGAGCCGGTTTTCTTAACCACTGTGCTGTGGTTTCTCTTAGCCCTTCTGTTAGCGCCAGTTCAGTATGACCAGAAGCAGTGACTAGAAAATCATACGGGATGCAGGTTTACCAGCACACGGTGTGTTAGTCATCTGTGCCACAAAACCAGCCTCAGTCCATCTTTTAATGCTGCCTCAGTTTCTCAGGATGCTGAGTAACACAACTTTTAAGTGAGAGCAGTTGTTGACACTGTTTTTCACCTCTGAAGTGTTTACCAAAGGCAAATCTTTATGTGTTTAAAATTTTTCTTCTTCTTTGCTGTCTCTCCTGCTCTCTGTATGTCTGACTTTGCAATTAAAAAAAAAAAATACATATCTTTCAAAAAAAAAAAAAAGGATGGGGCCCGGCATGGTGGCTAGCACCTGGAGTCCTCACCTTAAATGCGCCAGGATCCCATGTGGCCGCCGGTTCTGGTCCCAGCAGCTCCGTTTCCCATCCAGCTCCCTGCTTGTGGCCTGGGAAAGCAGTAGAGGACGGCCCAAAGCATTGGGACCCTGCACCCACATGAGAGACCTGGGGGGGAAGTGCCTGGCTCCTGGCTTTGGATCGGCACAACACTGGCCATGGCGGTCACTTGGGGAGTGAATCATCAGACAGAGGATCTTCCTCTCTGTCTCTCCTCCTCTCTGTATATGTGACTTTGCAATAAAAATAAATAAATCTTTCAAAAAATAAGTAAAAGTTTTCTCTGCTTATTTCCATTTTGGATCAAGATGAGTTTTTCATTTTTCAAATTGCCTTTCTACATTTCAGATACTCTAACATTGGAAATTTTTTAACCTACATTTTTTTTTCTTGTTGTCTTGTTTTCTTATAAAATACTCTTTGTTCTTGATTTTGTTTTAGTAATGTTTCCAGAAATCTTTGTAAAAATGGGCTTTTGCTGATTTCAGAAAAAAATGTATAGAGCATTAGCTGTTAATCTAGAAACAAGTATGGTGAGCATCTTGTGTCATTTCTGGGCTTCTGTCGCTCCCTAAGCATCAGCACTGTGATTTGGGCCATGGTATGTACAAAGCTTAGCCACATGAGTCGTTACATAGTGCAGGCTTCTAGCCTGGCAGGATGCCACAGCTCACTCAGAGTCCTTGGCTTCAGTTCCTCAGCCCAGCTGCCTACAGTACAAACCCTGAGAGGCGGCAGTGGTTGCTCAAGCCATTGGAGACCTGGATGGAGCTCCTGGCTCCCAGGTTCCACCCTGGCTGTTGCAGGTATTTGAGGAGTTAATCAGCAGGCAGGAGCTTGCTTTCCTTCCTTCCTTTTTCCTTTTCTTCCTTCCTCTTAAGTGAATAAAAGACTCATCGTATCCCTCAAACAAATGCTATTTTGCAAAACTAGGTGGGTGAAGAGACAGTCAATAGGTGTTATTGGTTATGTATCTTGGACAGTAATTTCTTCCCTAGATTTCACATTTCTGTGAATCACTATAATGGACAACTAACTTATGAGGTTCTGCAGTTTGTCTAAATATACTTGTCAAATGTATGGAAGCATTTTCAGACTATATACTGTCCAACAAATGAAAAATTGTATTTTTTGTTTGTTTTTGGGTTTTTTGCTTTCTATTTTATTTGAAAGACAAAGAGAAATACGGAAAGTGTTCTTCCATCCTTATTCACTGACCGGTTGCCAATGACAGCCAGGACTGGG